GCCTTTCAGAGATAGGGAAACCGAGTCTCAGAAATGTTCAGAGCTGGTACAAAGACCAAAAGGTGGCAGAGCAGGGAACTGAACCAAGTGCTGAGGTTAAATGCTGTTCCCCACCACCCCTCCCATGGCATCTTGGAGCCTTGAGTTCAGTGCAACCAGGGCCATTCCCTGTAAGATGCCAGACACCCTCTGCAGCCTCTTACTGGCGTCCCCTAGGGCCAATCCAGCTTGATGAAGTGTTTGCTGCACCCACTTATCCAAGGGCTGGGAGCTGATCCCGCTTTTACAAATAAGAAAACTGAGGCTCAGAATGATGAAGGGATTAGTGCAGGGTAACACACATGGTGAGACCTGGGAATCGAAGCCAGTGAAGAAAGCTTTCCCTCCAATCTCCGGAGTCCCTAGGAGAAGGGAGACCCTTGCTCAGAGAGGGTGATCACAGGTTGGAGAGAGAAGCAGTGCCCCATTTGAGGTACCCACTCTCTGCTGCCTAAGTGTCTGAGGCCCAGCATCCTGGAGAACCACCCCAGGTAAACCGCACTCTTCTGGGCTCACCTTCTAAAGGATCTCAAGTCCTGGAAAAAATAGCATCCCCAGGCAGGGGGCCTCTGAAGACAGTAAGATCTCTCAAGCCACTGCAGGGTCCACCCAGGAAGAAGGTCGTTTCCATGAGGCAGGAAAGAGGGCTGCCTGGGGGCAGCCCAGGCCTGGGTTTGAATTCCATCTGAGACCTTCACCCACTATGTGTCCATAGCCACGTTAAACGACCCCGCTTTGCCCATCTACCTACCTATAGTATATGGATAATAATGTCAAATTCAGACGGTAGCTATAAAATATGCAACACCTCTGGCACAGTGCCTAGAATATAGCATGTGCTCAATAAATCAACAATAAATAAACAATAAATAAATAAATAAATAAATAAATAAATCAACAATAATAGCAGTCACTGCAGTAATAATAGCAGTAATAATAGCAGTCACTGCAGTGATTGCACAATTGTGCAACTTTTTTGCTTTCACAAATTCTTGATCCTTAACCTTCATTCAATCCTAATTGGTATTCTGTCTCTGAACAATCCTTTTTTTTTTTTTTTGGCTCTATATCTTTGCTTATACTTTATCGCTTCCTGAAACACCATCTCCTTCCCTTTCTATATGCCTAAATTTTATCCATCATTCATGGCACAGCTCTTCATGGATCTTCCTTGTAAAAGAAGCACAGCTGGAGGGAAGAAATCAATAGTCAGGCAGGGTATGAAAGACCAAGAACCATGGCCCAAAGCTCTGGAAGAATCTGAGACCTGGGGTTGAAGTATCTGTTCAACTACCTTCAACTCACCACCCATCCAGTTCCCTCCCTCCCACCCAGTCACCTAGAGACCCAGCCACTTACATCTTACCCTCCCACCTGTTCCCTTGCCACCTGTATCTGCTCTCTAACAAACAGTGCCAAATTGCATCTGTCCTTTGTTCTCTTTTCCCTTTCTTTGGCCTTCTTTTGGATCAACTTAGAATGTTTTTCATGTCCTTCTCCTTTATTGGCTTATAAGCAATAACTCCATGCTGTTTTAGTTGTTACTTTAGAGTTTACAGTATACATATAAAATTTGTCATCGTCTACTTTCAAGTGATGTTATACCATTCCATGTACAGAAAAGACCTTACAATAATATATTTACATTTTCCCCCTTTAGGTCTTTGTGCTATTGCTGTCATACATTTTATTTCTCTATGTGTTTTTTTTTTTTTTTTTTTTTTTTTGCGGTACACGGGCCTCTCACTGTTGTGGCCTCTCCCATTGCGGAGCACAGGCTCCGGACGTGCAGGCTCAGCGGCCATGGCTCACGGGCCTAGCGCTCCGTGGCACGTGGGATCTTCCCGGACCGGGGCACGAACCCATGTCCCCTGCATCGGCAGGCGGACTCTCAACCACTGCGCCACCAGGGAAGCCCTCTATGTGTTTTTCTTTAGATGTTGGGGTTAGGAGTTTGTTAATTAATTTATTTATTTTTGCTGTGTTGGGTCTTCGTTTCTGTGTGAGGGCTTTCTCCACTTGTGGCAAGCGGGGGCCACTCTTCATCATGGTGCGCGGGCCTCTCACTATCGCAGCCTCTCTTGTTGCGGAGCACAGGCTCCAGATGCGCAGGCTCAGTAGCTGTGGCACATGGGCTTAGTTGCTCCACGGCATGTGGGATCTTCCCAGACCAGGGCTCGAACCAGTGTCCCCTGCAATGGCAGGCGGATTCTTAACCACTGCGCCACCAGGGAAGCCCAGGACTTCTTTTGGTATTCCTTGTAGTGCAGATCTGTTGGTGATGAGTTCCTTTTTGATCTTTATACCTAAAGAGGTCTTTATTTCACCATTTTTGAAAGGTATTTTTACTAGGTAAAAAATTCTGGGGTGACAATTCTTACATTTCAGTACTTTAAAAGTTTGATAGGCTATTTCTGATTTACGTTTCTTCCAACAAAAAATCTATGGTCTTTTCCTATAGCTACTTTTAAGATTTTCTCTTGTTTTGAGCAATTTGATTATATCTTGTACCTTGGTATAATTTTATTATTCCTTGTGCATGGGATTCACTGAGTTTCTTAAGTATCTGGATTTATAGTTTTTACTAATGTGTCCATTAGTTCTTCAAAAAATTTCTTTTGATAGAACTACCACGTGATCCAGCCATCCTACTTCCAGGTATATAACCAAAGGAGATGAAAACACAATCTTGAAGAGATATCTGCAGTCCCACATTCATTGCAGCACTATTCACAATAGGCAAGATGTGGAAACAACCTAAGTGAATGGATAAAGAAGAATACAGAGCACACACACACACACTGGAATATTATTCAGCTATGAGAAAGAAGGAAATTCTGCCATTTGCAACAACATGGATGGACCTTGGGGCATTATGCTAAGTGAAATAAGTCAGATGGAGAAAGACAAATACTGTGTGAGCTCACTCATATGCAGAATCTAAAGAAGCTAAACTCACAGAAAAAAAAGTAGAATGGCAGTTACCAGGGACTAGGGGGGTAGGGGAAATGGGGAGATATTGGTCAGTGAGTACAAACTTTCAGTTATAAGATGAATAAATTCTGGGGATTTAATGTACAGCATGGTGATTATTGTTAACAATACTGTATTTTTACAATAATACTGTGCATTTGAAAGTTGCTAAGAGAGTAAATCTTAAATGTTCTCACCACAAAGAAGAAATGGTAATTATGTAATGTGATAAAGGTGTTACCTAATGATATGGTGGTAATCATTTTGCAATATGTAGGTGTGTCAAATCAACACATTATACACCTTAAACTTACACAATGTTATGTGTCAGCAATACCTCAAAGCTGGAAAAAAATTTTTCACCTCCTCTCCTTCAGGGACTTTAGGATGCTTGAAGTTGTCCTACAGCCCACTGATGTTTTGTTTGTTTATTTGTAGTATTTTTCCTTTTTGTGTTTCATTTTGGGTAGTTTCTATTGCTCTGTCTTCAAATTCACTAATCTTCTCTTCCACAATATCTAATCTACCATTTGTAGCATCCAGTGTATTTTTTAAAAATCTCAGACATTATAGTTTACTTGTCTATAAGTTCAATTTGAGTATTCTTTATATTTTCTATGTCTCTACTTAACAGTTCAGTCTTTCATCTATCTTTCTGAACATATGGATTATAGTTCTAATAACTGTGTTAAGGTCCCAACCTACTATAATGATGATAACTTCTATAGAATCTACCATCTGTAGAATCTATCATCTATATTCTTTCTGGGTCAGTTTCTAATGATTGATTTTTCTCTTCATTATGGATCATACATTTCTGCTTCATTGGATGTCTGGCAATCTTTGAATGTATGCCAGACATTTAAAATTTTACCTTGTTTTGTGCTATTTGTTTCTGTATTCCTATAAATATGCTTGACTCTTGTTATGAGACATGATTAAGTTACTTAGAGCCAGTTTAATTCTTTCAGATATTGTTTTTAAGCTTTTTCAGATAGGGCCAGAGTAGTGTTTATCTTAGTAGAGGGGCTAAATTTTCCCCACTAGTGAGGCAAACTCATCTGATAACTTGTGAATTACATAATTTTCCTCTGGATGTTGAAAACAGACATATGTCTGTCCCTGTGTGAGCTACAGGGATTTTTCCTCTGATCTTTTTTGGGCAATACTTTCTTAGGCCTTGTGAAATTTTCTCATATTCATACACTGGCCAGTACTCAGGTGAATACTGCAGGAACCTTCTACAGATTTCTAGACTTCTCTCTCTGTGCAACTCTTCCTCTCTGATGATTTGCCCTGCAAACTCAAGCCATCTGGGCCTTCCAAATCCAACTTTTCAACATAAGGAGACCACTAAGCTCTCCCTGGTTTTCTTTCTAAGAATTAAGCTGGGACCGTCACAGGGTTCACCTCATTTTCTTCCCATTTTTCAAGAATCATTGTTCTTCATTGCTTAATATGTAATGTCTTAAAAATACTGTTTCATATATTTGTCCAGATTTTTAGTTATTTTGGGTGGAAATAAATCTGGTCCATTAATCCATCTTGGTCAAAATTGGAAGTTGTAAATGTTCACCTTTTGATAGTGAACATGTTTAGTCCATTGTGCTTGTTTCATTGAAACTTGCTGCAAATACCTTGGCTGCTGACAGATGAGAGATGACCCCAGGATGTTCTGTACATGGAGGAATGTGGGGTCCAGGCTCACCTCCCACTGTGCTGCCACTGCCATTCTGATGATTGTTTTAAGTATTAAACAGTTAGAGCCAGTTTTTGTCCAGGCTGTTGTAGCTTACAAAATTTAATTCCTTCAAACACTGGGTTGCTAATCTACTTGCTTTCAGTTCCATTTATTAATCATAACTAAGGTTTTTTCCTGGTCATAGTTCTCAAATCCTGAAGTGCTTTCCCACCCCTCTCCTTTGCCTCTCTCTCAATGTAAAGGCAGCTACCTTGAGCCTATCCAGCTTGAACAGAAAAGACCAAAATTTAAAATTTTCCCTGAGGGCTTTATTCAGCTGATAAGTTTTACTGAGCCTTTATTGCTCAAAGCTTTAAAACTACTATCTCTTACTATTTGGGCCTTCAAAATACTTGCCTTTCCCTTCTTTCAAGGTGCCAAATTTCTGGAATCTCCCAATTTCCTTTCATTTCAACATTTACACTGGCTGAGTCTTTCCTGAATGCACATCGTCTTTGCAATACCCTGCCATCAAGGCCAATAATATCCACACATGTTAATACTCTACTTCCCATCTTTTTCCTTGGTACTGATGACTCATTAGGCACGGGATCTTCCTCCCACATTTCAAAAAATGATGATTTTATCAAATATTTTTTCTCTAACAACATGGATCTCTATTTCTCCAGCCCCCGGCATAGCTTCCTCACTGCTTACCACCACTGCTATGCTAATGTCACATACTGTAGGATTTAATTTCAGCAAGACTCCACTTTCTTTACCAATTACTGTATCAGTCAGAATGGACTAACAACTATAACAAACCTAAATCTCAGTGGATTAATACAAAGACTTTTTCCTCCCTCACACAAACAAAGTGAATGTTCCTGGTTGGCTGTCCCTTCCATCTTATGGATCCTCCATCATCTTGCAGCCTTCTTCTGGGTCCTCTGTATTCAGATAGCTGCCTTATAGATAATGAGAGCAGCCAAGATCCTCATGGTATATCGTAGGAGCGGAACCAAGAAGTTGAATTCCATTGATCAGAACTAATCACATGGCCCCATCCAGAGGCAGGGGACACTGGGAAATGTAGTCTTCCTGTGTGCCTAGAAGAAAAAGTAAATGACTTCACAACACTGTCCAAGTGCTTACCTTTACATCCGCTCATCTACCATGAACCCACCAAGAACAAAATGAGAATATCAACAAAGAGAAAGAAAGTATTAAAAAAAAAAAAAACAGAAATTCTTGAACTGAAAAATACATTAACTGAACTGAAAACTAATGAGGGGTTCAACAACAGGCAGAAAAAAAATCAGCCTGAAGAAAGGTCATTTAAAATCGTCAAGTCAGAGGAGAAACAAAAGGAAAAAACTGAATGAAGAAAAATGAAGAGAGCTAAGGAACTTATGGGACAGTATCAAGTGGACCAACATACACATTGTATGAATCCCAGAGGGAAAAGACAAAGTGAAAGGGGCAGAGAATTTACTTGAAGAAATAATAACTAAAAATTTCCCAACTCTAAGGAAAGAAATAGACACACAGATTCAAGAAACTCAAAAAACTCCAAAGAGAACCACAATGCGACATTATAATCAAACTGTCTAATGTCAAAGACAGAGAGAGAATCTTAGATTCAGCAAAAGAGAATCACAAACAAGGGAGCCTCCATAAGATTTTCAGTGAATTTCTCAACAGAAACTTTGCAGGTCAAAATGAAGTGGGATGATATATTCAAATTGCTGAAAGAAAAAACTGTTGGCCAAGGATACTATATCTGGCCAAACTGTCCTTCAAAAAATGAAGGAGAAATTAAGACTTTCCCAGATGAACAGAAGCTGAGAGAGCTTATTACCACTAGAACTGCTCTAGAAGAAATGCTAAAGAGACTTCTTCAAATTGAAACAAAAGAATGTTAGCAACATGAAGCCATTTTTAAATATAATAATCTTGCCTTTGCACAGCAAAGGAAACCATCAGCAAAATGAAAAGACAACCTAAAGAATAGGAGAAAATATTTGCTAATGATATGACCAATAAGTGGTTAATATCCAAAACATATAAACAGCTCATACAACTCAATATCAAAAGAATCCAAACAACCAGATTAAAAAATGGGCAGAAGACCAAAGAACGAGAGATGATTAACAGGTACATGGAAAGTTGCTCAACATCGTTAATCATCAGAGAAATGAAAATCAAAACTACAATGTGATATCAGCTCACACCTGTCTACTTGATAGCTATCATCAAAAAGACCACAGACAACAAATGTTGGCAAGGTTGTGGAGAAAAAGGAAATGCTGTTCATAGCAGCATTATTCACAATTGCCAAGATATAGAAACAACCTTAAGTGTCCATCAACAGATGAATGGATAAAGAAGATATGGTATGTATATATACAATAGAATACTACTCAGTCATAAAAAGAATGAAAATTTGCCATTTGCAACAACATGGATGGACTTGGAGGGCATTATGCTAAGTGAAATAAGTCAGACAGAGAAAGACAAATATGTATAATATCACTTATATGTGGAATCTAAAAAATACAACAAACTAGTGAATATAACAAAAAAGAATCAGACTCACATATAGAGAGAACAAACTAGTGCTTATCAGTAGGGAGAGGGAAAGGGGAGGGGTAAGATAGAGGAGGGGGACTAAGAGGTACAAACTATTATGCATAAAATAAATAAGCTACAAGGATACATTATATAACACAGGGGATATAGTCAATATTTTATAATAACTATAAATGGAGTATAAACTTAAAAAATTATGAATCACTATGCTGTACATCTGTAACTTATATAATACTGTACATCAACAATATCTCGATTCTTTTTAAAGTAAAAAAGAAAGAAAAATGTAAAAAAAAAAGATCTCCAGTAATAGTAAATACATGAATAAATATAGTAATCTTGATGCAGGGAACTTATATACACATGTGACAAAAAGCATTTTTTAAACCAAAAACCTATGTTCTGGGAATACAATGTAATTTGAGACATGAATAATATAAAATAGAGGAAGTGGGGAGCTGTAATGGAGTAGAGATTTTTGTATGCAACTGAAGTAAAATTGTTATCAGTTTAAAATAGAATGTTATATTTTTAGGAGGCTTTATGCAATTGCAATGGCATCCACAAAGAAAACATCCATAGAACATACACAAAGGGAAATGAGAAAGGAACCAAAGTATATTACTACAAGAGAAAAATAAAGAAATACAAAGGAAGAAAGGAAGAAAGGAAAGGAGGGACAAAAAAGCTACAAGACACACAGAAAACAGTTAACAAAATGGTAACAGTAAGTCCTTCCCTCTCATTAGTTATTTTAAATGTAAATAGATAAACTCAACCAAAAAACATAGATTGGCTGAATGGATTTTAAAAACAAAATCAACAAAAGGGTGTCTCTAAGTGACTTACTTTAGATCTCAGGACACATTATAGACTGAAGGTGAAAGGATGGAAAGATACTCTACAAATGGTAACCAAAAGAGAGAAGGAGTACTAATATCAAAAATAAAAATATACTTTAAATCAAAAACTGTTATAAGAGATAATTCACCAAGAAGATATAACAATTATAAATATTTATGCACCCAACCTCAGAGCTCCTAAATATATGAAACAAACTGCAGAGTTGAAGGGAGAAATAGACAGCAACACAATAATAGCTGAAGACTTCAACACCCCTATTTTCAATAATGAATAGAACAAACAGAGAGAAGATCAGTAAGAAAATAGAGAACCTGAACTTGAACAATATAGCAATTGGACCTAATAGAGCACTCCACCTAATAACAACAGAATATACATTCTTCTCAAGTGCACTTGGAACATTTTCTATGACAGACCATGTGTCAGGCCATAAAACAAGTCTTAACAAATTCAAGATTGAAATTATACAAAGTATCTTTTCTGATTACAAATGGAATGAAATTGGAAATCAAAAGCACATGAGAAACAGAAAAATTCATGAATATGTGAAAATTAAACAGCACACCCTTAAACTACCAATGCACCAAAGAATAAATCACAACAGAAATTAGAGATAAATGAAAATTAAAATACAATATACCAGCACTTATGGGATACAATGAAAGCACTGCTAAGAGGGAATTTTATAGCTGTAAATGTGTACATTAAAAAAGAAGATCTCAATTTAACATTTTAAATTTACACCTACAGAAACTAGGGGTAAAAAACTAAACCCAAAACTAGCAGAAGCAAGGAAATATAAAGATGAGAGAAGAGAAAAATGAAATAGAGAATAGAAAAACAATAGAAAAAAAATCAATAAAATTGAGATAAATTTTTGAAAGATTGATAAAATTGACAAAATCTTAGCTAGATTAACTAATAATAAAAGAGAATGCTCAAATAACTAAAATCAGAAATGAAAGAGGAGATATTACAAATGGTGCCACAGAAATAAAAACAGTTCATTTTTTATATAAAAAAGAATACTATGAACAATTGTATACATAAATTGGAAGAAATGGATTTATTTCTTGAAACACACAACATACCAAGTCTGAATCATAAAGAAGCAGAAAATATGAGCAGACTAATAATGAGTAAGGAGATTGAATAAGTAATCAAAAAGCTGCCATTGCTGAGAAGAGGGAGAGGGTGTAACCATATGTAATAAAACCAGCTCAGACCTGACTCTCAGGGCTCCTCCTCCAGCATCTTGGGATCTGACACTGACCCAACAGGGCAGTGACAGACACTGAGAATAGGAGAACTAGACACTGATTCATATCTGGCTCTGGCTTTAGCCCCTCCATCTCCAGCCCCACCTCCCGCCATCACACTTTTTGACTTCAGACACAAAGCTATAAAACAATGGAACAGAATAGAGAGCCCATAAATAAATCCAAGCACTTAATGGTCAATTAATCTATGACAAAGGAGGAAAGAATATACAATAGAGAAAAGACAGTCTCTTCAATAAGTGGTGCTGGGAAAACTGGACAGCTAAATGTAAAAGAATGAAATTAGAAAATTTTCTCATAACACATATAAAAATAAACTCAAAATGGATTAAAGATCTAAATGTAAGACCAGAAACCATAAAAATCCTAGAAGAAAACATAGGCAGAACACTCTTTGACATAGATTGTAGCAATATATTTTTGGATCTGTCTCCTCAGGCAAAGGAAACAAAAGAAAAAATGAACAAATGGATTCTAGTTAAACTTAAAAGCTTTTGTACAGCAAAGGAAACCATCAACAAAATGAAAAGGCAATCTACTGAAGGGGAGAAAATATTTGAAAATGATATGTCTGATAGGGGTTAATCCAAAATATATGAACAGCTCGTATAACTCAATATCAAAAAAACACCAAAAAACCCAATAAAAAATTGGGCAGAAGACCTGAATAGACATTTTTCCAGAGAAGACAGACAGATGGTCAACAGGCACATGAAAAGATGCTCAACATGGCTAATCACCATAGAAATGAAAATCAAAACCACAATGTGATATCACCTCACACCTGTTTATTTGATGGCTGTAATCAAAAAGACCACAGATAACAAATGTTGGCAAGGATGTGGAGGCAAAGGAACCCTAGTACACTGTTGGTGGGAAGGTTAATGGTGTAGCTGCTATGGAAAACAATATGCAGATTCCTCAAAAAATGAAAAATAGAACTACCATATGACCAAGCAATTCCACTCACGGATATATATCCGAAGAAAATGAAAACACTAATTCAAAGAGACACATGCACCCCAATGTTTATAGCAGCTTATTTACCATAGCCAAGATAAGGAAGAAACCTAAGTGTCCATCAACAGATGAATGGATACAGAAGAAGATATAAATATTCCAATATATACATATATATGTATTCCGTATATATATATGTATTTATCAGAATACTACTCAGCCATAATAAAGAAAGTTTTGCTTTTTGCAACATGGAGGCTATTATGCTTAGTGAAATGTCAGATGGAGAAAGACAAATACCATACAATTTAACTTATATATGTAATATAAAAAATAAACAAATAAATAAATACACTGAAACAGAAATAGATTTACAGATACAGCGAAAAAATTAATGGTTCCCAGTGGGAGAG